AAACCATGAACACGGAATACAGAACCATACAGCTAGCAAACAAGAAAACAGCTCCGAATCGAAGAATGATGATATGTTTCTAGGATCACTTGAAATTGACAACGTAAACAACAACGACAACCGCAGAAAAGTTGAAATCACAGTCGACGTCACCGCCAAACCCTACCACAAGAAAACTACCCCGATAGCATGTAAAATAGATACAGGCGCTGAAACTAACGTGATATCTAAAACAAAGTTTGACAAGATTATCGCCTCTCCCAGTGATAAAGCACTTGGACCACCCCAGATTCTCACAGCCTATGGCGGCCAAAGGATTGAATGCATGAGTACCTGCCAGCTGTTTATCCACTACAAAGGCAAGATAAAGGAAGTACCCTTCACAGTAACCAATGTGCAAGGACTGGCCATGCTAGGATTAAAGACGTGTGAGGAACTAGGACTTGTTACGATCAATTGTAGCATTCAAGCAGATAGTAAACGTACAACTTCAGCTACCAAACCTCACGACAAACGTCCTCTTACGAAGGATAAACTTGTACAAGAATGTAAGGACTGTTTTGAAGGCAGAGGTACCTTCAAAATGACGCCATACCACATCACTTTAGACCCTAGAGCAGAGCCAGTTGTGCACCAACCTAGAGCAGTTCCTGTACACTTGCGTGAAATGTTCAATGCTGAGCTCGACAACATGGAGGAACTCGGAGTCATCGTACCAGTTAACGAACCCGCTGACTGGATTAACAGCGTAGTACTTAGCGAAACCGTCAACGACAACGGAGAGATAACCAAGTTGAGAGTGTATCTTGACCCACGAGACGTTAACAAATGTATAAAGCGAGAGCACTACCACATGAGAACAGTCGATGACGTGATTATTGAGCTACACAATGCAAAATATTTCAGTGTCATTGATGCGACAAAAGGGTACTGGCACGTACCGCTCGACAAAGAAAGCTCCCTGCTCACCACCTTTAACGCGCCATTCGGACGATACAGGTTCACTCGGATGCCATTTGGACTAAATGTCTCACAAGACATTTTCCAAAGGGAACTCGACTCGTCCCTTGAAGGACTTACAGGAGTCACAGGTATTGCTGATGACAACTTTGTATACGGAAGGACAGAAGAAGAACATGATCAGAACGTCAGGAAGTTAATGGAGCGAGCACGAGTAAAAGGTGTTGAGTTCAACAAAGAGAAACTACAACTAAGTGCAAGGAAGTTAGCTTGTTTGGCCACACCTGGTCGCCACAAGGCATCAAGCCCGACAACAAGAAGGTGTCTGCGATCCTCAACACGGAGCCCCCCGAGGACGTCAAAAGCTTACACAGCTTCCTCGGTCTAACCAATTATCTGACAAGATGCTCTGGACGCCTAGCCACCCTATCAGCACCTCTGAGAGATCTGACAAAGAAAGACACGGTCTACTCCTGGGGACCTGAGCACGACCAAGCCTTCACCGAAGTTAAGAAAGAAGTCTCATCACTCGGCGTACTTAGATACTTCGACCCGAACGCAGAAACCGTCATCGAAACTGACGCTTCACTGAAGGGATTCGGCGCTGTGTTACTACAAGACGGAAAGCCTGTATACTATGCTTCTAAAGCCCTCACCGAAACTGAACAGCATTACAGCAACATTGAACGAGAAGCACTCGGCTTTGTTTGGGGACTTCAAAGGTTCCATTACTTCATCTACGGCAAATCCTGCACAATTCACACAGACCACAAGCCACTTGAAGCAATCTTCAAGAAGAAACTCAGCAACTGCCCTGCAAGATTACAAAGGTTTGTACTACGAGCACTGAAGTATAACGTTACCATAAATTATGTCAAAGGAGCTGAAGTACCTATTGCCGATGCCCTCTCGAGGGTATCACCACAACCAGCCTCACCAAACGAGGAATTCCCACAGCTGGACATCCACCAGGTCACAAAGAACCTCCCAGCGTCACCGATAAAGCTTCAACAGATTCGCAACGAAATAGCCAGCGACCCAACGTTAAGCAAAGTCCGCAACATAATACATGAAGGATGGCCCGCAACCAGAGAGAAATGTCCTCAAACACTCCATGACTACTGGAACTTCCGCGAGGAACTCACCATTGAGGACGGCCTCATCCTGAAGCAAGAGCGGAAAGTTATGCCTACCACACTCACGCATGATACTCTCAACACCATTCACTAAGGACATCTCAGACAGGAAAACTGCTTTTTGCGAGCCAGATCAGCAGTATTTTGGCCAGGCATCACCAGAGATGTCACCAACTTAGTCCAAGGCTGTGCAACCTGCCAAGCATACCACAGGAAGCAACAGAAACAACCAATTCTACAGCCTGAACCACCCTGCTACCCATGGCAGATGCTCAGCTCAGACCTATTCGAATTCAGAGGAAACCAGTACTTCCTGATATCCGACAAGTACAGCAAGTTTCAAATTGTCAGGAAGCTTACCAACACTACGTCCAGTGCCATCATCAACCACCTGAAAAGCATTTTCGCCGAACATGGGATACCCGAACGTCTTACTACAGACAATGGCCCTCAGTACTCATCGCAGGAATTCTGCGACTTCATGGAAACCTATGGAGTAGAACATGTCACCAGTTCACCAATGTACCCTCAGTCCAACGGCTCTGCGGAACGCATGGTTCAGACAGTAGAGAATATCCTCAAGAAATGTGACAACGAAGGAGAAGATCCTTATCTTGGATTGTTATCATACCGTACAACACCTATCAGCAGCAACCTAAAATCACCAGCTGAACTACTAAACAACCGCAAGCTAAGGACAACTCTACCAATGCCCAAGCGTGTAAGTGTCAGCGACAGCACCAGTAAGACTAAGGAAGAGCTGTATCAGCGACAAAAGTTACAAGCATTCTACTACGACAAAGCTGCTGGACCGACATTACAACCATTCCGACCAGCTCAGCCCATCAACATCTATGACCACCACACCAAGAGATGGGAACAAGGAACAGTCGTCAGGCCTGCGAAAGAACCAAGATCCTACATTGTTAAGAACGATCGAACCGAAGGCATCTACCGTCGCACTCGATCACAGCTGAAGCCCAGACCCGAGGTAAAGGACAACAGTATCAAAGACCCACCATCATCTGTTCCTGAGAAAGCAGCATCGCAAGACAGCTCAACTACCCCACCATAGGACGGCCAAACCTATACGACAAGATCTGGACGTACCTCAAAACCCCCTAACAGACTAGATGTTTAGATACCTGAACATTTTCAACATCATGACATGAACATTGGCAATAGGCATGGACACGATCATCAGTTATTAATATCATTTATACAAAATCGTTATAGGTTGTTTTGTTAAAGAGAGGGGGCTGTAACAGTATCTCATTGTGCGATTACATAATGGCACAATTTCTTGGTTACGCGTTGTTTACATAACGTGAATTGTCACGTGCAGTATCTTTACCGCCGTTTTGCTGTATGTATTACTGTGGTCCTAAATAAATGGTTGAGTTAAAACAACACAACACTTTACATCCTTCGTTTCAGTTTTTACGTATTGGATCATTAAAGTTACCATATTTGTGTACCCGAAAATCTATCGCCGTAACAGTAACACTGGAAATTATTTTCAGGTGTTTGGAGGCTGGGCCGAGTGTTGATCCACAAAGAGGTTTAACCGCTGCAACAACTGATGAATAAGAAAATTGAGCACATACCAGGTGGCAAAGGAAAGCATTTAGACGAGAACAACACATTGTATGACATGATGTGCTATGCGCCATCCGCTGCTCGTAAACAAAGAACTTTTGTTTGAATATAGTTATCCTAGGTTTTGCTTTACAGATCGTAAATGACAAGTAGCTAAAAAATAGATACTGGTGCCATCAAAGTTGACACTAGATGAATTCAAGTGTGATTGATGGCTTCTACAATGGAGCCGAATCAGTAGGCCTTACGATGCTTCTGTTTAAAGATGTAACGAATCAAGCACATAACTGTGCCGGAATAAATGAGAATCGTGTATGTGAACTGCGGATTAAGAAATTAATATGTAAGCGATCTTCGCAATAACGAAAACTACCTGAGCAATAGGAAAAAAGTCCTGAAAAAAGCGCAGGCCTGTACCGGATTTGCACTCATGACCTCTGCGGCATTGGTACAGTGTTCTACCAACAGCTAACAAGCAAAGTGGGAGCTGGTCATTATGTTGGTTCGTAATAAACCCGTGGATTAAGAAGTTTCAGTGGGAATGGTCCTATTTACATTAAAGACTTCTTTAAACTTCGTACAGTCAATTAATATCTTAGAGGGTCAGGC